TGCCAACGACCAATCATATTTGTAAAATTTCATGAAGTGAGAGGTTATTCATAATAACGAGCAATTGAAATTATCAAAAATAGTTTGAAATTTGATTATAAATTCAAATGGATATTTGAATATTATATGCCCGTTGCAATAGCACCGTTGTTAAAAGTAATTTTTGCAATCAGGCACGCTGTGAGTTATGAAAAATCAACGAAAAAATCTTATACCAACGTATTCTTATTTAATACCTTTAGTTCGGTTTCTACCTCTATTTTTGGGCCATTTAATATTTTATTCAACGTTTCCGCTGCGAAACATGTCGCCTTCATTACGTAATAATATTCTCAAATTCTCGACGTATCTGACGTACGTGACAAATGCTAAAGGATGTGCAGTTGCAATCAGTTGCCAAGAGGTCTTGTCACGGATATAAATATCGTCCAATTGAAATTATTGAAATCTATCATTCGCAACATATGCGCCGGAAAATCACAGATCATAAAAAATTTCATCAGATTGGATCGTGAATCCCACATAACGAATCTCGTTGGCAGCAATTACCCAGGCTGTAAGCGTCCTAGAAATGAGCAAGAGATTCACTCGAGTTTCATCTTTTGAAGCTTCATCCCTGCACTAAATCGGTCCAATTTCATCAATCATCCACCATGAGGGCCCAATAACAGTTATCGACGAGAATTTTGCCCCTTGAGAGCTCAAAGAAAGTTAAAGAATCGGCGCCGGAAAGAAAAAATTCGAACCCTTCATCGTCGGAAATTTTTCTTCATTTTTTTCGCTTCCGCTCTTGCCAAAGGAAACGGTCGCGTCAGCGATAACTTCACAAATGAAAAAATTTGATTTTTTACGCAGGGTAAAGATTGAGAGAAATTTTTTCATTAAAAAATGTCAATTCGAACTTGCAACGAATATAATTTGGTTTATTACTAAAATTCCATTAATTACAGTTGTGGAAATACATATTACATTTTTATATATATGACTATACATATGACATTTTTTACGTTAATTAATTAACACTGACAATATTATTAATTCAAAGCATATGCTACTTTTTTCAAGTTATGTTCCAAATGCTTTCAGAATTTTTTTTCAAATCTCAGAACTATATCATCGAGTAAAAGTGATGCGCAATTTTGAACGCTTTGCACGTTCTGTTTCTCATTTACGCCTCAATGAGTGCTGGCATAAACGTCTACCACAGGAACAAACATCTGGCGGTCGAACAGTTTTCCCGCAAATGAAAGAGGAATTCGCTCAGCCATTCCAGCAACGTCTTGGTGCAGACACACGATGGGTCTTGGGAGAATGCAAGATTTATGTCGCCGCAACTCTGAGTCAGTTGACCTAATCGCGAATGTTAGCATTGGTCGGACGTGGTCTGTCTATCCGCAAGCGGCCGTTTCCGAGATTTAGAGCACTTCTGGCCTCTTTTTAACGTGAACTTGGTGTCATAATTCTCTAAGTGCCTCATGATATGACCTCTTAGAGCCTGCACGAGCAATGTCGATGGCTGAGGAGCATTTTCACGTGTCCCATGCCGATAACGTATTTTATTCTACAGGGTTAGTTAAAATTGCTAGTATTTTCCATAATGGAATGAATCTGGCAGTTTTCTTAGCCGCTCAAAAATTTTTTTAATGAAATTATTGATTCGAGATCCGTCTACTTTTCGAAAATATAGAAGCAAAGATAACAGACTAAATAATTCATTCAATGAAAAAAGCTCTTCTTTTGAGTAGGAATTCATATTTTTTATCTAGAGATAAATAATTATTAGGACCAAAAATAATAATTAAGGGTTCGCGCATTTCCGTTTTCAACATTCAGCATTTTCAAATGCCTGAATATGATTGTAGAAAGTTGAGTTGTGTGATTTCTGAAACTACCGCAAGTTCTTAATGAGCTTCTTAGAGAGCATTGAGATGTTTCTTAATGCTTTCAAAAAGCTGGAAAACAGTATATTCAAACCGTATTAGGCAACGTAAATGTGTTTTTAATATTTTTATAATTCGAATGATATTTTTTATACAACATTAGGACGAAGGTGATTCGTGCGTCAGAAATAGTGTTAATCATCCTGAGAGCGCGCAACTTCTTGAAGCCTTCGTTAGTTAAATGAAAACTGGTAGATTCCTCAATGAATTCTTTTCCTCATTTTTTTAATGTTAGAAAAATCTCTTGTTTGAAACAGAGTATATTGCTTTCTTTTAATTTAATTTCACTCTTTCACTCCTCAATATTTTTCATCCCACGTCAAATTTTCGAGCCCCGTTCCGGCAATGAACCTCAAAATGTAAGCAATTTTGAGATGCCTTCCTGCAATAATTTTTAATTGAAAATATTTAACAGCGACACGGGAAGTAAATTCATTTTAAAGCGGGGAATTGCTGTATGGTTTGCAGCGAGATCTTCAATGAAACAGTTGCCGGTACCTGCCATTTATCAAGATGGCTCTGAATGGCTGCTGCACTTACTACCATTTGTGCTGCTGCATTTACTACCATTTGTGCTGCTGCGCTTACTACCATTTGTGCTGCTGCGCTTACTACCATTTGTGCTCCTGCGCTTACTACCATTTGTGCTGCTGTATTTACTACCATTTGTGCTGCTGTACTTACTATCATTTGTGCTGCTGCATTTACTACCATTTACTTCTGCATTTATTACCATTTGTGCTTCTGCACTTACTACCATTTGTGCTCCTGCGCCTACTACCATTTGTGCTGCTGCATTTACTACCATTTGTGCTGCTGCATTTACTACCATTTGTAACCTGCAAGACAGCGCCACCGGCCAAATGCCACCTAGAATCGCTAGTTGCAGCTTATGCAACGCAAGCATCTAAGACAACGTCTGAGCTATGGGCTACAAAGAATGTCTTAGTGCTCCAAAATACCAAGGGTCTATGTGGCAACCAATGGTAGATTTATTGCAGCGTAACGTATAAGGCATCTGTGATATGGAAATGTGGTCTCACTGAACATTATTGATAGGAAAGTAGAGGCTTGTATATTCCAATGATGACTACGCTGAACACGGCTTCTCATCTTTGGAAAAGGGAATTAAAAGTAAATAAATATAAAAATTCAGTATAATACCTATGTGATTTATATTTTATTCGAAAGTTTCATTTTATTTCGTTTTATTGATGTTTTATTAAGAGGATGGCGAATTGATATTCTACGGCGCCAACGTATTCAGTCCAAAACTTTCATATATTATAGAATGATATACAAAAAGAAATTCGTGCTAGAAAACACAGTAATTTTCTAGTCGCTTTAAAGGATGCCATGATTACGAGACAAACTTTCCTGCTTACATTCCTAATATTTAGCTAATTCACGAAGAACGTGAAGCGTCTCAATGATTTAGATCTAAACATAATTCATTGTTCAGTTGAACAAGTAAAAACATTTCACGTACATTCTTGTTTTTTATGATTCAATTTATTGTATTTGCTAACTTGTATTTGTAATTTGTATCTGTAATAATTTGTATTTGCTAACTTGTATTAAGCTAATCGCTTTAGTTTCAAACTGAACATGTGATGTTCCATTAAAAATGAAACCCTTTAACTCTGATCCTATGCTACGTCGTCGGACACAACGAATATGTATCACCAACGCGTCGATGAGGCGAAGTTTTCTCTTTTTAGGGCATTTTCTCATTTATGGAAAAAATGCACTATTTCGCTCGCCATGTCCGTCCGTTTGTCTGTGCGTCTGTTCGTCTGTCTGTCCGTCCGTGATTTAACGTTATCGTTGACGAGAAAATGCGCTCTCTGTCACTCACTGCAGTGAGTACTGGGTTATATTTTTCGGTATTTCGCGCGCCATGCAATTGTGAGCGACTGCCCGCAGCTATCACCGGAGGCGACGCCAGTTATCGCCGTAGTCACGAGCTTGGAACATCCACGGCCGCCCCTACCCCTCAGTTGAAGATGCCCTCAGCCTGTGCAACCAAGATAACTGCTCGAGAGAATGTTTAATATTGGGTCTGAAATTTATACGCTGATGCAGGCTGATTAAGAGTTGCGTATTGCTCCTAAAAAACAATTATTGCGCAGCGGCAAGCTTATATGAATAAAAAACTATAAATGTCAAGGAAATCAGCTCGCAATAAAATCCGGAATTTAAAATACAATCAACAAGTCAATTGGAATTGGAATACAATGGAAGCCGACTAACAAAAAACTGCGTCAGTGAAACGCACCGTTTCAAGGTTTTTGAGCACAATTTTTTTCCACTTCAGAATATCAAAATAAATGCATCGATAATGCGGTATTTTACTGATATATACTTTTGTCCTAGCAGCAAACGATATCGATGATTATGCTGACTTGAGCGGTAACTGCACGTATTTTTTGGGAGAGGGCCTCAAGTTTCAAATACGCAAGCGACCACCTCCTGCGTATATGAAAATATTTTTTGAAAACCACAAAGAAATTTTTATTGGCCTTAATCTTAAATACAAGTAGATAAAAATTGTGTGTCATAACACACAACTTTTATCTATGTACTTGTATTTTATCTGCTTGCACGCTCGCAAATAATTTATTTTCATCGCCTTTGTCTTCATCGTTGTATTTTTATCTTTGAATGCTTACGAGTAATTTCTATTAAATTATGGAAGATACTTCCTTGGTGCTGCGTTGGATGTTGTTTATGCTCCTTTCGGGGTTAGGTGCGCTAGAAAGCTACATTCCTGTATTTTCATGAAACCACAATTGAACTCTTTAATTAACTCAGTACCATAACATTTAATTCTTGCATATGGAAACTTCTATGAAAATTAATGTTATATTTTTACGACGAAGCTTTTCAAAGATGACAGGTTTATGTATGTTCTTCGATATTTCTACTCATGATTTGTGTTAGTGCCACTTTAGTGTTGCCTCCATTAAAATGTTTCATTTATTAATAAAATTGACATTCATTATAATCTGTATATTAAATTATGCTCTATGCTAATATTTGTTCTTTATTCCTTGACAGTTCTGGGTAGCTTACACTCCCTGCGCCTCGCAGTATCTCAATTCTGTGCAACTCACTCTAGAACAAATTGATCTAATCAAAAGAGTAATACGCAAGTACACGGACTTCATGCAGCTAGTAACAAATTCACAAGGTGAGTACTTTTATCTCGCTGTAGAAATACTTTAATTGCTAAAAAATTAGAGCAACGCTATTTATTCTCTCTTTAATTGTAGGTACCTAACCTAAATTATTATAAATCATATACGTGAAACTAATATTAGTAGCAGCTTCCATGCACAATTCATATATTAAATTGCGATTTTATGTATCGATGAATGGTTTTCACAAGGTGCACTGGAAAATTCATGTTATTACAATACATTATGCATTATTTGAGCACTATAACATTGTGTGGAATCTTATATGAAACAGTTCCAATTTAGGAGAATAGATTTAAAAGTGCAGTGTGACCAAACTTCAATAGTCCAGTTGATTTTTTTGCCCGCTTTGGTTCCTGATTTAATGGATGATTTAATGTTGTGTAAGTAAGCTCGAGGTTCTCACAGCGACGTAATTATAGGGGAATCCTGTTTAATTAGTTACGCAGTTAAAGTTTTACTGCAAGATCAACGGTTCATAAATGGCCATAGGCGCTTTTAGCGTATTTTAATGGAAGTCTTCAGGAAGACACTTACGAATAATTCTGTACGACAATGAGATATTTTACAGCTTAGAGGAAATGAAGAGGATTTTTTAGCTTCCTAAGCAAATGCTTCCAACTTCCGTCTTTTCTATCTGGCATCACAGTGATGAGAGTGGCCAGGGGGTAAGTTAGTTCAGAAATAAGAAGTTCTTGCAAGGGATAATCATGTTCTGAAATGGGATGGGATGCGTATGGATAGGATGAATTTAGTGTGTGCTCTAGATCAAAAAGAAATTTCATGAAATCGTTTTCTAAAAATTAATTCGAAACTTTTAGTGTCTTTCCTTCCTGTGATAATTCAATGACATTTCCATGTTTTGATATCACTCTCAATAAACATTTATTCTATATTTTCCTCCTCAAGATAATCAAATTTTCCTCTTCCATGTTTTGAAATCACTCTCAATAAACATTTATTCTATATTTTTCTTTTCAAGATAATCAAAATAGTTTAACGGCCAATTTCAAGTCAGGCTGATCGAGGGTTTCATGTTTCAACGCAAAGTCTTGTTTGCCTTTGATGGTTGGAGCGTGGGCGGCAGCGCCACAGAAGTCGGCGAGACGCCTTCTTCGATGACAGTTCATTACGAGGCAGCTCGGTCTGTTTGCTCATGAAGGCTTGACACACCAACGAGAGATTTACTTTGTAATGAAGAAGCCTCTTTAAATGACGAGCTTTCTCCACAAAAATTACTTCGTGGCCAGATACGAGCGAAATGCTTTAAATTCAGATCTCTTTTTTAGATACGGCCGTAAAGTCTTCGGCCATATTACGATCCCTCATTAACCTGGGCTTACTTCAAGCATAGTGAAAGTTATAAAATTCTTATTTATAACCAAGATAGTGATAATATAGTAAAAAAATATATACCTACGTTGATATCATATTTTATTACGTTATATTTCAGAGATTCTGAAGGTGTTCAAGCAAGGGAAGATGGCCAGCATGGTTGGCATCGAGGGAGGCCATGGAATTGGCAACAGCCTCGGGTCTCTAAGAATGATGTACGAGCTCGGCGTGCGGTACCTCACGCTGACGCACACGTGCAACACGCCTTGGTGAGTATTTAACGTAGCTTGGAGTGCGCTTGTTTTGGTGTATTTTATAGGAGGGTAAGAATGTTCGATTGGATCTAAATATTTTATGAATAGAGTTGCTCACACAGCATTTTCTTCACTTAAATATGAAAAATTAATGAAATGCATAGCCTAACTTAGAATAGCGATTGCTCATGTATTCAATTCCATAATGAATATTTCACTTCCTTATTTTACGATGGATTAAACGATGCAAATTAACTGGCGCTGTGTAAAAATGGTATCATATTAATTTCTATATGTGGAGGCCGTTGCTCGGCCGGCTAGCAGTTGTCCATAAATCAAGCGAGGTGTCGAGTCCTCGTCTCAGCCGTTAACGCGTAGCTTGTTCAGAGAATAGAGCAAATTAGGAGTATTCACTGGCAGGGACGTAAATCACTGCTGCATTGGCCGGCACTAATGGATGTGGACGTACACAAACGATAACGTCAATAGTGACGCCACTATACCAGAGGTTATGTAACAAATCCCCCACCGTCTGTTCCTGAGAGCTTGTATTGCTTCAGTGACACCGAGTTCATTATCGACTTTGAATTACAGCTGCCCTTGATGCGAGCATACGCGGGAACTTTTAATTAGTGCAAACTTGCGGGAAGGATATGTTGTTTGGGGTGAATTAAGGAGAAGGTTTATTGTTTTATTTAGTTTAGCACTTAAATGAAATGTTTGTATATTTTAGATTATGTATTCAAGTCTTGTTAAATTAACCAAATGCTGTTACATTTTTGTCCTCAAATTAAAATTTGTCATCGTAACATGATAGAAGAACTTCAAACATTTTTTTTTATTTTCGCGTATTTTTCTAAAATAAAACTTTATTTATGCATTTATATCGATAGGTAATTAATAACCTCACAACCAGTGATCTACATTATTATTTTTTTGTCCATGTAAGCAAGTTAAGTTTGTCGAATACCGAGGGATGCTGAACTTCCGTGCTGGAGGTTTTCTGTTATGCATTGCTCTCAAATTGCATTTGCATATTCTATGGAGCAATTTTTTGGTGTTCTCGTCCGCTGCAGGGCAACTTCTTCCATCGTGGAATCGAGCAAGAACAACAAGATGGATTACGTAGGCGTCGGCCTCTCCGAGTTTGGCAAGGTGATATGAAAAATGAGGCTTCCTTGCTATCAAACAACGGCATGCTCAGCAGGTGTCTCAAAAATCCTCTGAAAGTTTGGAAAATTCTTCAAAATTTCCGATCTCTCGCTATATAATTATTTTTAGATTGACATTTATGCTCCACAGAAATAAAATTAATATATATAAAATTACATGTAATAAAGTTTTTTCTCTTGATACATGAACAATTTGAACAGGTGGCAAATAAAGAAATAGAAATTTCTAACAAATTTCTATTTTTTCGATAAAACATACCAGCAAAAACTCATAGGGCATTTTTTGCATGTTTTGGCAGCAATCTAAGATTACTGACCATTTATCTAGGTGACTTTGACCATCAATCGTTTTAATCATAAGGAACATTTTCTTTGTCCCAAATAGAGCCCTGGCTGTCTCTCTTATTCAAGCTTTATGCAATTCCATAGAGTTCCATAAAAATGACTACTCAGCATATTTGCCCCATTGATGCAATCAGTTGATTGGCGTAACGCCACAATAGATCTTTCTGCGAGGCCATCTTCCCCAACCTGTGGACCGTGGCAGCTCGCAATGAACGCTCTCCCAGCTTTATTTTATTCATTTAGCTCTATTATTTTCTCAAAATAATACTACACTTGTGCATCTATTAATTTTCTTATATAAATTGACAATCGCCACCCACTTATTACAACGGAAACATCTAGAGTATGACTATAATTATTCATTCGTTAAGCTCTATTATTTGCTCAAAATAATACTACACTTAAGCATCTATTAACTTTCTTATATAAATAGACAATCGTCACCCACTTATTACAACGGAAACGTCAAAAGTATGACTAAAATTAATTTTTATTATTATTTATTATTTTCACAAGATAATACTACACTTAAGCATCTATTAATTTTCTTATATAAATTGACAACGTCACCCACTTATTACAACGGAAACATCTAGAGTATGACTATAATTATTCATTCGTTCAGCTCTATCATTTTCTCAAAATAAGATTTTACTTATGTATCTATTTCTATTAATTTTCTTACAATAATTGACAATCGTCACCAACTTACAACGGAAACGTCTAAAGTATGACTAAAATTAATTTTTGTTCTAACTCCAATGTGTCTTCCAGTTTCATTTACTGGCACAGAACATAGCCGTTTCATCTTTGTAGATCGACAATAACAGCGATTCAGTTATTTTCAAATTACGCCTAAATATATTTACTTAGAGTGTAATTTTATGATGGTGTAAAATAGTATCCGATTCATGCATACGAATTCTTTTTTCTTCCCTTTTCACACTTTCGACTATCGACTCGATTGTCAATCAGACAATGTATTTTACTAAATTCTAAAGAGAACGATACATTTTTCTTTTCGCGTAAAGGAGAGTATCGTTGGTAAATATTTATTCGGTCATTCTTATTTTAGTTTCAAAAAAATAACTTTGCCTATATTTTATCAAATGATATTCACTACTATAATTCTGAATGGCTATTCGTTTTGCGTGACGATGCAGAAAGTTGTGCTGGAGATGAACAGACTTGGCATGATGGTGGACCTGTCACACGTGTCGACTCAAACGATGCGCGACGCTCTGGCCACCACTCAGGCACCCGTCATCTTCAGCCATTCTGCCGCTCGCGCCATTTGTGATAATCCAAGGAATGTGCCAGATGATGTACTCAGACAGATCGTGAGTATTGTTCATTCATACAAATATCCATGGTGTAAAATTTGTGATAATCCAAGGAATGTGCCAGATGATGTACTCAGACAGATCGTGAGTATTGTACATTCATACGAATATCCATGGTGGAAAATTTGTGATAATCCAAGGAATGTGCCAGATGATGTACTCAGACAGATCGTGAGTATTGTGCATTCATACGAATATCCATGGTGTAAAGTCTATAGTAGAGAATGGATTTGACAATGACAAAAATCAAATTCTTCATCCAAATAACAATTCCTGTTGTGTTTTATGCCATGTTTGTTGTTATGCAAGTGATTGCTTCGTTTAAGACACATTTAATGGAAATAGTTCTGACGTCCCGAGTTCATATTGGCTTGACATGAGGACTTGCAGGTCCCAAGTCTAGATTGCCAGATTGCGGCAACGTCCAATATGGAAGTGGTTTCACCGCTTGTAATAAATGTTTCTTTTTAAACAAATCAGATTAGACTAACATTGCCAAAACAAATTGTACTAAGCGGACATACAAATGTGCAAGCCGCGTGCTACTGCATGGCAGATCAATAAAGAACACCAGCTTACAACGTGGCATTGTAATATTGTTATGCATCGTATGGTGGCTAACAAGACCGTACAAGCGTTGATTGTGATGGCCGCAGACGTGTTGTGAAGGCCCTTATTGCCGTCAGAACTTGACGTGCGAAGGCATGCATACGCGTATACGTGGGAGCAAAATAACGACTGCAGATTGATAATGTTGGCTGTCATACAATTTGTAATTGCCGAAATGTATTTGAAAGATAATATCCTGCTCCTAGAACTTAACGAGTGAAAGCAAGTTCGATGAAGAGGCTAAAAAATATATTCTCAGAAAACTCATTGATGTGTAGTTTTTCATCAAGGATCACGATAGCAGCATCATATACAAGCGGAACCTAAAGTGAATTTCGTGAAGGTTCTCATTGCAATCAATATAATGATTGATAATCAGTGCGTAATTCATTTATTACTATTATTTCAAACTATTTTCAAACTATTATTTATTTTCCCATTATTAAGGATATTAAAAAAATCTGGCTCCTGCAAAGAACATACTAGTTTGAAGGGGTTATGCAGTTACAAAGTAAAAAATGCGTGGTAACATCAATTAACTGCAACTAAAACTATACTTCAACATCCAAAGAGTTGGTGGGCTTCAATTTACACGTTTTTGGGCTCGACAAATGGGACTGAATTCATCAAATCGTAAGCTTCCAACAATAATTTTGCGCAATGCTCAAGGACTCTCTTGATAGATTCTAAAAGCACTCGGACTTTGTTTACGTCTGAAAAATGTATTCTTAATCCAAAAAGCGATTTCGAGTACCATCCTTTCGCTTGCGTGCAAAGTTCATTTAATAAAAAGAATAAATGATTTACATAGTGGTCAAATATTTAAAATATTTTTAATCATGAATGTCGCAAGCAAAAAAAAAACTAAAAACATCTTTAAAAAACTATTGAATCTGCCCAGTGTTGCTAGAGAAAGACGAGAAATACGGAAATACCATTACAGTTACCTTTTCGTCTTATTGTGTTTTCTCCAGTCATAGTAGCTTTCAAACGAAACCGCTGTATATTACAGAAAACCTCTTCACAGCCACCTCCAAATAAGATGTCTATTTAAATAAAGTTTAAAGAAATCCGAATAAATTCCTAATATTTTTTGCGTAAAAATGCAGTTGTGAAAGATTTTTCATTATGTTGGGTTGCTAAAACTTTGGTTTGCAGTGCCATTTGATTCTGCCTACATTAATAGAATTTAAAGCTAAAAAAGTAACACGAAACGTTAGGTATTTTGTGCACACGCTCTCGAGCAGCCCTATATTTCTTTATTGAGCCTTAAACACTAAATAAGACATTAAAATTTATCCAACGAAAGTTCAATTAGAAAATAAAAAACAATAGAATAACTGTTTATAATATTTAAAACTCAGCCCCAGCGTCGAAGCTCCAGCGACGATCGGGATAGACAAACCCAAAGATTTGAAAATCTCGTAATCTCAAATCCTTTAATAATTTTCTAGCGCGGAAAAGCTTGCTGAAAAATATGTTTTTTAAAATGTATTTTGACATAATACACTCATAGAACTTTCGTGGAGAAATTTCGAGAAAAAATCAAATTTAAATCTGCATGAAATTTCATTCATACGAATTACTTTTTCCAAACCCCTCTCACAATACCGCACGAAAACATAACAGTTTCAATAAACATTAATGATATGTACTTAAATTTCTTCTGCACATTTTTTTGCAGCAGATATCAAACAAACCCACAAACTCACATTGTAAAATTTATAATCGATAATGGCTCTCCACGTATATTCCTTTTGTATCGAAGGATCCTTTTCTCAAACTTGTAGTGTCAGTGTTCCTCGGTACAGCCTGCTCTTTCACTTCTCTTTGTCCATCCGTCTTTGTTCTTGGCAATCCTTTGATCTCGCGCTCAACATGGAGTTTACGATAATTTTTTCGCTCTCCACCCGCTGGCAGAGAACATTTTTCAGGCTTCGTTTAACTGATGCTTGTGAACTATCAGATGGCGAAAAAATAACACGTTTTTTATGCAGATAGAGGAGCAACAAGTGAATAATTGGGCCAATTATTACAACAGTCTAATTGCTGTACATTTTTAAGTGGCTTCGGTAAAAGTTAAAATCACAGACGGAGCTCAATTCTGTGCGAGATATTTGATATTTCACATTAAAAATTGATAATATATTCTACCCAAACATTGACGATTTATTCTACACAGAAACATTGAGAATTAAATGTAACTTCACTTCAAGAAAACCTGATAATTCTTTTATTTGTGCAGCAACTGAATCGAGGAATAGTCATGGTATCCTTCTACGCCGACCACATAAGTTGTGATGGCAATGCCAATGTCTCTCACGTGGCAGGTGAATATTTAATAACTCTTGCTTTCATACCAACATCGTAATTTTCTGTATAACATTTCTTCGTTATTGTGATAAATTCAAGGTTTTTTATTATCACAAATATTGTGATAAATTTCTTATGTGATAAATTTCAAGGAATGCAATATTATATGCTTTTTAAAGCCATGTGTTCACATGTGATAAATTATAGCTCCAACTGATTACATGTCAAAAGTTAAGTAATCAGTAATAAATTCAACTGCAGTTGAAATGATCTGTTGTAAACATTTCATATCAAAATTGCTAAGTGTTCGTCGAATTTCTGCCCTAAAATAGATCACATCAACCACATCAGGGACGTAGCAGGTGTGGACCACATTGGCATAGGAGCAGACTTTGATGGCATCAATAAGTAAGTTAATTAAATTCTCTATTACAATTGCCATTACTAATCAATTTATATATATTTTCAACTAGATAATTATTAAATTAGATGGATACTTCTGAGCACAGCATGAAATTACTCCTTCAATTAACTATAACTTGCAAATATCAGGAACCTATCCCCTGCAGCTCGCACAACATCAACATGTTCCAAATGAGACATAGACCAACGAATAAGTGAGATGTCACTCATACGAAGGAGAATTTTGTGAGCGGGGAAAATATTCAGCCATGGATTCTTTTCCCTCTAAATTTTTTTGTAAACCAGTTTATAAGTTCTCTAAATCCGTAACCACGAAGTCATTAAATGTCAAGACTCGCACTCTAAGTTGAATTGACAAAAAATGAAATCCATGTACAGTTCATCGTAACATATCACGAAACGTAAAAAATTTATTTATAAGTAGGCACAAGCAATTAACATACGATATATGCTGTGATTACATGCTAATTGTGCTGACATAGCTATAGTCATTTATTTTTGCCTCCATGGACAGGTGTATTATGTTAACGTTTTCATTTATCGCATTAACAAAGTTAAATTTCCCCTCTCCTCCAACAAGGAATTGATGCATGCACGTCGAACGCATTCATTGGAACAAAGTTTGCTGCCTTATATCTTTTCACTTCTCGAATTAATCTTTTCACCCAGACTCGAAGTTTCACTTTTTATAGCATTGAAGCATAAAAAGTAAGACCGCCGTAAAAGGTTTTACCAGCATAAAATGCAATACAAAAATCCGTCCTATTCATGTGGTCGGCAGAAAACATTATCCTTCTGAGTTTTAATTCAAATTGAATCTAGAAACTAGCGGAGTTTTACGGCTTCGAATAAATTAATCTTAACCAGAATCTCTTTGAGGTTCGTACTCGAGTTCCACTATAAGGGCCATCATAGAAAACCGCTCGTTAGTAAAGAGAAGTTCGCAATAAGACGATGCAGCAAGCATGGTTTGTAACTCACTTGATATTTCATTCAACGTGCGTAATTACGAGAGTAGTACATCTTAAATCATATCGAAAATAACTGGCAGTCTTACATCATCGCTGTCAAGATTCGACCATAAATATATCCCTATACCAATTATAAGCTATTTCTCAGCTGAAATTTCATTTTTCAATTAACAGTGTCACAACTAATACATTTTCATTAGTTTTTCAATGCTAAATTGTTTTATTACTGAATTAAATATACTCGAAGGGCCTCGAATTCCCTTCATGTCCGCACCAGCCCGGTCATCTGCAAGCGCAGTGCTGCGGTCTACGATATCCTCGCGGATTCACTTGAATCCTTTAACATTCCGGCCGAGTTGAACTCAATGGTTTCGCCTCATTAAGCCTATGAATTGTTATAGCTTGCAGTTTCACGAATGAGCGCGATGGGGTAAGCCCATCTCATTAGTAATCCAGGTTTTTCCATCCGAAACACAGCAACAAGAAGTCCTTGTCTCGCAATCTGCAGAATGCAGCTGCAGAACTTCTGCTTCACTTTGCTAATCTGTTCAATTGACTTGTATGTACTGACTCATCTAATTACGTTGTTTAATATAAGCTTTGATGTTGTATGATTCTGAAGGAAACTTCCAAATGCTATTGAATTACATTTGAAGTTGAGTGTAACTTTCATGCAGCATGATTAGTCTGAATAACCACTGATAACTTCTTGCTGAAATTACAGAACATGTAAGGTTTTGGCACAACGAAACTCTGTTTTTAGTGAGGTCACTCTGATGCAGCTTTTCTGTTATCGACCGTTCATCAAATGCTCTGTTTATTGTTGCAAATTATTAATGATGGTCAATGATCAAATGAGATCAAAAGCTACTCCTACGGTTGAAATTCAAAACTTATTTTCCATTCAGAGTTATTTTTTATAGAGGAAAATTATTGAGATTCATGATTTTCTTGAATGTCGATCAATAAAATTTAACTGCTATGTCATCACAGATCTTTTCTTTTCGTCAATTATTATATCCACCAACTCAGATTTAGTGTGTACTATCGATTCAATATTCATCTCAAGAAGATTATTTCTTAAAAAAAATTATTTCATACGAGAAATAGAACACGTCTCTTCACTTCCTGTCGTAACCAGACTCATTTGTTTTCTCGTCTATTTTTTCGAAGTGAACAATAGATTCGTACATTTTTCACGCCAAGGCAAGGTTTTAAAAAGTAAGCGGTAAATCCTGCTGCGTCACTATTCGTATTTATTTTGAGAGTTAGGCGAATGAATTGAGATAACATTCCGCTATTTCCAAACAATATGCAATTCTTATAACTTATGTTCATAGGGATTATAATAATATTGCTCATTCGATTCCAAAGTTAAAGTCAGTTTAAATTCCACCTACAGCCTCAAAGAGACATTTCAATTCCACCGCAAATCGTGAATTTTTGTTAAAACGAATAATTTAAAGATGTTTGTATATGCTCGACTTGAGCAAAAGTATTAGCGATGATAAAAATTCATTAGCGCTCAGGTGTTTTCTTTTTGTTAATCCTAATCTAAAATTGATCGGTCTATATTACCGCAGAACTCCTCAAGGTTTGGAGGATGTCAGCTCCTATCCCAATCTGATAGCCGAGTTACTAAGAGATCCTCGCTGGAGTGTCGACGACATCAAGAAACTGATCGGTGGCAACATAATACGGGTGTTCTCTGAAGTGGAGAAGGTGAGTGGGACATAATACGAGTGTTCTCTGAAGTGGAGAAGGTGAGTGGGACATAATACGAGTGTTCTCTGAAGTGGAGAAGGTGAGTGGGACATAATACGAGTGTTCTCTGAAGTGGAGAAGGTGAGTGGGACATAATACGAGTGTTCTCTGAAGTGGAGAAGGTGAGTGGGACGTAATACGAGTGTTCTCTGAAGTGGAGAAGGTGAGTGGGACTCTCTAGCAACAGGATTGAAAAACGGATTTTTTTTTTGTAATTTTATTGCGTGTGCATTAATTTATTTTATCATCTACTCTTTCTGTAAATTGAAATGCAAAAAAATTTTAATTTAACAAATATTGGGTTGCCATGTGGCGAAACATGCGTCTAATTCTAAGTTAATGCAATTAAAAATGATATAAATTTGAGAACCTTGACTTTCAAATAAGTGTTAGAGTAATCATATTAATAATATTGAATGCATAAGCTGCGATTAACACTTAAATTGATCCATGTCGTCCTAATTATGGGACACGATACTAACGTTCAATGGAAATTAGGAATAAAATTGGAAAGTTTATGAAGAATATATAGTTCTATTTCAGCCTACATATTCGGGCAGGCTTGAAGTTGATATTTTTATTTTATTGTTCAACTTCCAAGTTGTAGTTTTGAACAGGTACAAACTGCATTAAGTAAATCCAATAATAATTTCAATAAAATCAATTGCTCTTAAAGATCGCCCTAGATTCCGCTGATTCTGAATATTAATTAGTTTGTACAGCCGTCGTTTCTAGAATTTGCTTTTTTTTACCAGAACATCACTGAAAACATAAAGACATATTTAAGACCTCATTTTGTTTATATCGCTAATATCAGTTGCCTGTTGCGTTTCTTTACTTCTAATACGAATATTTCATAAGATCACTACCAATGATATAATTTAGAAGAAAAGACAATATCTAAAAATGAAATCACCATATGTTTATTAGAGTCACATCGATTAGAATTTTCGAAGCCGCAGATGTTATGATAGCCAAGTATGCATTTGACGTTCTTGGGAAATTCTGACGAGATCATGTATATTTTTTAAATTCTTAAGTAAATGAAAATACAACGCCTCATTGATGGTAAAACTGAGGTAATTAAATGTCAGGAGTTTTTACCGTAGAATTATATTATCATATCCATTAATACCTAAATGTTTTGAGAAAAAATCAATGCTCATTTAATAACTAAAAATTCTGTATGATACTGCGCAAATTTTTCTGCCATTGCCAACAAATATTTACACGTAATCCCAGCCTCTAATAATTCCTATGTAATTCACTCACACGAGTCGCCTCCAGCAGTAACATCCATGCCCAATTTTATGCACCCCGGGCGTCCGCGTAATCTCATTATTTCGAGCAAGACTCTGGGCTCATGAATTATTAAAAATAATGGAACTGATGTTGTTCTCCGCAGGAAATTAAGTCATGTTCTTTGAGTCGCTGCAGTGCTACCTGACTGATCTAACCTACGCTGTATGTTTATGCAATTTTTACTTTCTATACTTCACAAATTAGTTTTAAAGAAGTAATTTTCATGACCTGTAACTGAATTCTACCTTACAATGATGGATTTATTTTGTGTTTTCAGAAAAGAGATGAGCTTCAGGCAGCAGGATACCAGCCACAGGAAGAAGAGTTGCACCCAGAATATCTCAGAGGAAAAAGCAACTGCACTTATTCCTTTGATTAGGAAAACCTATGTGCGAATATTATGGCATAGATCCATAAGAAAACATTAGATGAGTAAACAGAGACTCCAAAAATAATCGTATGTGAGAACATCAAAGGAAAGAAGGTTGTCTTTCATCAAGAATTCTGATGCCTGACAATATTTATGTGCACAGCATACTGAAATGATCAGAAATGGCTGAAGAATGATATAAATAAGCTTCCTAAACTGACTTTAAGGCACTGGAAAGGTTTCGGATATTGCAATTCAAGAATTTACAAGAGCATCGAATTGGTCTGGAGCTTCCGTCTTTCGTCCCAGTATTTGATGCTTGGGAAAAGCTAAATAACTTATAAATGAGATTAGTTATCAATTATTGAATACCTGCAGTATCAACGGCAATTATTCAACTAGGGCAACGTGATTTCTTTGAAGTGAAAGGAATGTTACACAATCTGCAAGGCATGAGTCACTTGGGAATAATAGACATTAAATAGACTCTCGTCTCCTGGACTATTTGAGTTATTCCTCGATGGTACACTATTTTCCTTGCATCATGAACGACTGTCAAATCTTCACCATACCACAGATTTGTCATGAATTTATTTTCATACCAAAGATTTATACCTTAATCAAAACAATTTTTCATTTCAGAATATCTAAAATGTCTTTGTGATCAATATAATGGACTCGATCTATAACTGTGAGACGGCAGGCCGTGTGTTCAGTGTCAGAGAATCATTCTTCTTTTGCTATGAACTTTTCTTCTCTCGACTCAAATTAAAAGCACAGAACGGATGTGAAACTTCAGCGCTCAAACGGCTGGCTTGGAGAACAACTTTGAGCCCCAACATAAAACTTCCACAGGGAAGCTGAGTGTGAAGCATAAACTTTGCGGTTATGCAGGTGGCTAGGATTTTGGTACACTTCAGGGTCGTTGCTCATATTTAAATTTTCTACACACTATATAATCTCTAAGGTCTTGAAAAGATCAGAGCTTATATGAGATAGTCAATTTTGTCGGCAATTGAAGTTATTGTGCTGCCTTGAAATGGTTTGAATTACTTCTGGTGTATCTATAGATATTTTTTAGCTGCTATGAGACAATTCATAAACAGAGGTTGAAATGTTTGTACAGAATTTTTTTATCACGTAGACAGCAATGGCGCACAGTTCACTTATGAAATTCTATTTTACATGTTTTAATAATAGCGTATACTTACTCTATACACAACCGGTGCGTTATATTTAGACTAGAGTGTCCGGCTCATCATAATAAAATGTACCCTTTACCTATAAAACTGTGCCATATGAAGAGATGATATGAAATGTTCTCCGTGAACATAAGTTGATGAGAGAATCCACTTCTTGGTACTTGTTTGGGACATAGCAGTCCCAGGCCACGATGGATTGAGACTTGATAAGTGTACTTGATCGAAATGGCGCTCAATACAAACAAAATCGAAGTTTCAACTATTCGAACTATTTTTATTCAACGAAATTTCAAAATCGAACTATTTTTATTCAACACTAATTCAAATTCTAAACGTTTGTCGTTACAATGGAACCTTTAACGTTAATTTATTTAAAGACCAAAACTGTTATATGAAAAGTAGAAACTAAAAAAGTTAATTTGCTGAATTTAATTGAACTGCATCATACATCACTAGACCCCGAAGAACTTATTCTTCAGGTGAAGATTTTAGCTGAAGAGTTACATAAAAAACTTCCTAGATGATTTGAAGTTGACCAAGGTCATTGACAGCCTTCATATTCTTTGACATATGAACTATGATGTCTTTAATATATATTTTTTTAATATCGACAGCGAGTTCTTTTCCAACTTTCTCGGGGGAATGGAGCTGGAAAGAAGCTTTCTTCGATGTATTTTGATACAAATATCTCTCAAATAATTTATTCATCTATACATGAATGGTAATATTCATTTTATTTTCCAGCCAATGGATTTATTAATTAATTCATTATCATACTGGCGGCATGCGACTATTTTGTTGAAAAATTAGTTAATATAACTAACAAAACAGCGGAAGTTGCGTAATTTTGGTGAGTAAGCCAATCAGGCTTCAGATCGTTTGCTTGCCAACTAACTTACTTTACAAGACAAGATCAATGATTCATGAAATGAAAAATAGTATTGAATGAAACTATAACTTATATAAAGCCTCATCGAGACAAAGACAATAGAAAGGGGAATTTTGTCTTTCTCTCTTTGAGGAATGATCCTAAGTTCAGCGGTAAAGTAACAAAGAATAAATCAGTCTTCGAGCTCAAGTACCAATGTTGAAGGTTAACAGCAGCAAGAAGTTCAGCTTATGACGGTTACAGCAGTCAATGTCAGCTGTTGTTCGAGCTCTGCTTAGCGTCGTAAATATTTTACAACATTACAGTGTACAACATTTAAGATATTAGTATTACAGTGTACAACATGTAGGACATATTACAGTGTACAACATGGAGGACATATTACAGTGTACAACATGGAGGATATTACAGTGTAAAATATAGAGGACATTACAGTTTACAGCATGGAGGACATATTACAGTTTACAACATGGAGGACATATTACAGTGTACAACGTGGAAGATATTACAGTGTACAACATGTAGGACATATTACAGTGTAAAACATGGAGGACATTACAGTGTACAACATGGAGGACATATTACAGTGTACAACATGGAGGACATATTACAGTTTACAACATGGAGGACATATTACAGTGTACAACATGGAGGATATTACAGTTTACAACATGGAGGACATATTACAGTGTACAACATGGAGGATATTACAGTGTAAAACATGGAGGACATTACAGTATACAGCATGGAGGATATATTACAGTGTACAATATGGAGGACATATTACAGTGTACAATATGGAGGATATTACAGTGTACAATATGAAGGATAGTACAGTGTAAAACATGAAGGATATTCTCGCACTTTTCGAAGTACGTGAGAACTTGATCCCTCTATATTTCCTGTACTAAGCTTAATAGGCGACAATCTTGAGCTCAGAACAGATTCCTAGGAGCTGACACCAAAACTATTTTTGTGCCAATATTCTATAAATAGCTTGGCTATTGAGAAAAATAATAGAAATATATTCTAATGGTTCTATACCTCTGAATAAGTCATCATGTTTATACCTATACATATATAAATAACTGATAGATAGCATATCGTTACTGTACCATAGCTTTGAACAAAAAATATTCTTAATGCAAAATATTATGGCGGTATCGGGATATCCATGAACGTGGAAATAGGATATGCATAGATTGTTTACCGCACAACTGTGTAATAGATTATATAATATACAGTTTGGCTGAACCATGTGGAAACGATCGGTGTTGCTCACGATTGACTTATCGATAAGCTTATTCGTAAGGGAAATAGTAAATGAAATTAAATTAAAATTTTTGATTTATCAAATAGTTGCTGTTTTTAGTTTATGGTTTATTAATGACACGCGAGAGTCTGGTACTCTCAGTATCTGCTTACAATAATTGTTTTGAATATACAGTAGATAAAAGTATTTTATAAAAAAAAACGATAATCTTCAAGCCTATTGTTAGATCGCGCGATCTAATATGTTAGCGTAGTTGTGTTATTGAACGTATTAAGTGATATCGTTTTCTGTAAACTTAATTGTACTTCGTGTGATTTATTGTTATTATTCTTAAAATCTATATTTATCCACCAAGGGTTCAAACTGACCGATTTTCAGTCAATTGGTCCAGCTTTTTACTTTCTATTGGCTCTAATTTGGAGTCAAAATCCCTGCATTGTCCATTTTTGTCCATTCTGGTGATGGGATTCTGGTATTCTAATAATCCGGAAATGTCTGAAAAGGGATTTAAAATTTTCGTATTCATTTTTGAGTTTCAAAAATTTTTACCAGCATATTTTGTTCGCATATTGTCTCGTAATGTGAACTCATATATAATTTTGTATGAGCTAAAATATTCGCATAAGGCAATTTTCTTGTGACATTAATTATTTTGAGTCGACCACGAGTCGCTCTCGCACCTGGCTAGTGTCGTGCCCGTTACTTATATGCCAGTGCCTTACATTAACCGCGGGCGGTGAGGCTCTAACGGCCTTAAGCTCGCTTCAGCATACCCACCGGGCATCTGACGTTAAATTGACGTTTATTAAACGTTGTTTCAATGAAATTAATTCTTAATCAACGTTATTTCAACGTCATTTGCCTGAAGGGTAGCGACTTTGCCCCCGCCAGCGCCCCACCGCCGCAGCCACTCGGGGCACGACATGCCAAGACGACAAGCGACTTAAGTACACTTCGTCACCTACGTACACTTCGTAAACTTACGTACACTTCGTCACCTACGACACACATGAAGAGTTTTGCCTAAAAAGAAAAACTAAATCAATAAATTTCTTTTCAATACCGAAGTAGCGCAATTTTATGTTTTTAACGTGACTTAAATTTGACATAACAATTAGTGTTGGAAAAAGTTTTATAAATAGTCCTAAGCAAAATGCTGATGTGTTTCTTTAAGGGGAAAACCCCTAATTCTAGAAACTTTATCAGGAGTACTGATGAATATTTTCCTTAGCATGAAAAGAATAATGCTCCTGTCTCATGATGCTTTCATTTTGGAGGACGGTTATCTATTTACATGATTAAATTATCTGTGATTTGAAAGATGGTATGTGTATGAATTTTATAGTTTTAACTCGTTTTTTATTCCAACTATATCATCCTAATTGAAAATAAATCTGGTAAGTACTTCACTTAATGTTTTCTTTAGGGATCTGATAAAATAAGCTGCTCTCAGGATCGTTAAAAATTATTTAATACATTTTTTCATTTTTAAGTTACAATTCTCTGCACGAGTTTCTTATTTTTCTTTCTTTGTAAGAATACTTTTTATGTCATTTTCGCTCTCTGGAAATTAATTTTTAAAGTACATAATTGTACCGAATGTTCAAATACTGAGAAATTGAATGCCATGTGCCAAGAAAGTTGTAACAATTTTCCAATTTCTAAGTGGCCAAACATTTATAAATAAT